TCTCTCCTCAAAGTAATTGGAAAGACAAAAGTCGATGCCGTGTCCAATCACATGTATATAAATAAACATTTTTTTCTTATATAAAAGCACCAATAAAATCAGATAGGTATGATTTTTGCTACCTTTTCTTTGTTTCTATTTATTTTTCCTGGTATCATCTGCCCCTCCGTTCTGTGATGATCTCACCCTCTAGCTTCAGTGCTTAACACACACAGACACGCTGTGGTTGTCTGTATATATATATATATGTTTGTACTTGTCAGCTTGTGTATATAGAAACTTATTTTTCCTTATTCCACATAAGTGTCACTGAGATTAAAACCATATAGAAAGATTATTTACTTATACTCATCTATAGATAAGATATACGACGACAGATTGGAAATAACCCATGTAAAACAAAAAATTAATCTAAGTCTCGCACGATTGATCTTTGTATTTAGTAGCTATTATTAATTAATGTTATAGTATTTATGAAATTAAAACTTAGTTTTGGAAGCTCCCCCCTAATGAGGTTGTAATTTCCACTGTTTGTTAATTTCTGTTTAAAGGATTAAATATTACTAAAAATAAAGGTTGATGAAAAGGTGTTTTCAAATAATGTTTTCTTGAGATAATATTCGCTGGTGAAAGAAACCCAACACTACATACAACTTGGAGAATCTACAAACATGATGATCAAATAGCTTTAACAGGAGTAGAAAAAATAAAGTTGATCAAATAAAGAATATGGACAAAAGAACACGCTCGGACAATGATCACGAGCCAACGAGACCGATTATATAATATATTATAATATTATTATCTGTGAAACAAGACCGAAATGTTTTTAAAATAAGTATCATAATTTCTTCGCCAAATATTATGGATCATATATACTATTGCTAATAGCGTCAGATAAGTGTTCGATGCCGCTCGAGTATTAATGGATGCGAACAGATACATATTTGAAAGACAATAAAATCAAGCTGATTCTCGTGTTAATTGTTAAGATAAAATCCAAAAACACAAAAAAGGTCTGAATCAATGATATAACTTTGGCAAAGTTTGAACTACGATCGGATCACAAAAACACTTACAAATAAAACAATCATTTAGTCAACGATCATTTGAATCTCAATTTTACTCTCTTCCCCTTCTTTCGTGGTTAGGGAATATAATGTATTAAAAGGCACATCATTCCTACATACCAGTATACCATGCACCGAGCCCTTTGTATTATTTTCTTCATTTCTTTTTGTTTGTCCAATATAGAGATATTGTACGTCCTTTTATCCCATAATATAAAATGTTTAAGTTGTTTTATTTTTTTTTATTTTGTAAAATGTTTTACAAGTCTCTATGCAATTTTAAGAATGTTTTGTCCTTTTAATGTTTAAAATTCAACAATATTTTTTTTAATGATTGCTTGAATTATATTTTTAACTATTAATCAAATGATGTTTTGTTTTTTAAAATGATTTCTTAATCTCTTTAATTACTTTTATCTAAATATCTTATATTTTAAAACAGAGTATATACTAATCAACTGGAATATACTTTTAAAAACAATTAATATTGAGATATATATGTTGGTTTTACTACCATATATATTATTTCTTCTAAAAAAATATGAAATTAATTTATTCCTTTTTTTTGTTTGCTCTTTTGAGGTACCCGTGATTAATCATGAGTCAAGCTCAATTTGGCCTCTTTCTCCCTTTTCCTTTTGCATGTTGGGGCCTCCCTCAAACAAAGTTGTCGAAAAATCATACATAGCTACATTAATCTTCTTTATGTACTACTTGATTCTATTATTGTATATTTCATTTACGATTAAATTAGATCTTTACGTTTATATGTATAGACAAAACGAATACGTTAAAAAAGTTTTTTCTGACCTAATATTAAAAATACAAATGTAAACAGTGTACGTACGTGTGTGTCCATTAAATTAAATTAAATGTGGGAGATGGAGATTTGAGCCACGGCAGACAAAGCTGTCTCCTTCAGATCAGCCTTGAAATATGAACAGTAACATAAATAAAATAAGTTGAGTAATAAATTTAGACATTTGCATTTCTCGACATGATCATAGGAAATTGTAAAGTGATTAAAATTTCGTTTAACGAATTTACGGTAAATATAGCTTCGGGATTTTAAAAAGCAGGATTTCAGGCTTTCATTTAAGTTTATTCAGACAAGAAAAAATATCTACGTTAAAACAACCAATGTATAAACTTAGGGTTTACCAATGTATTAGTTAATGTAACATCATAATTACGGAACAAAGTGAAGTCCAATGTTCGGATTCTTTCCGGCAACAGCAGAAAAGTCCAAATATATATTGCTCGGATTTTGAAAATGTCTTTTAGATATATGCACACTCACAGAGAACAATTCGGTTTCGAGATTCGGAAACCTCTTCGTATATATCACTAGTTTTCCATTTATTTTTATGTTTCTTTTTGTGATTGATGTATTTTAATATATTACATATCAACATGTGCATGTAGACGTTTAACTGGATATATATAAGTTTCTAACCAAATAAGAATTTTGGATAGCAATGTTCATAAGTTGTCAAATTTAAATTCAGTGTCTTATTTGCTTTGAATCTTAGTCAGTTAGTCATTATATGGTATAAATATAATTATATTAAAAGAAAACAATTTCTTGCTAGTCGAAGTGTTTCACAAACTATTGGACTTGTTTAGAATATTTTATTATAAAACGTAGACTCCGAGAACACATAAAGTAAAGAATATTAATCTAGAGGTTTTCTAATTCTACCGTATAAAATTATGTTAGGTTAACGTTTTCTTCGAAACTTGAATTATGGTTAGCGACTAGCAATGTTATTTGTAAACGCATAAACGCATTTTACCGCATGTAAGAGATGAACATTCAAATAGGAACCACTTAAGTGTTTATTTGTATATACCTGTATATATTTTATCGGTCGAGAAATGTGGAGAAGTGTTGGGAAGATGAAAGGGGTCAAAGGAATAGAGGTAGGGATGGTCTATTTCTCCCAACAAAGGGGTAGGAAATTGATTGGTAATAAATGATGTCTGAATCCTACATGTAATTTAAAGATGCGTTTATAACTTTTTCAGTTTTTTTTCTGTTTAATTGCAGCTTGTGACCAATGTAAAAACAATCCACACATTATGTTTAATTATATGCACTTCTCTCACTATAAAAATGGGATTTGTGTATATTTTCTTTGTGGGTCACTGTATAATGTATTAACATGTTTTTGTGTGATGCAAAGAACAATATTGCAGGATGCATTATATATTGTATCAATCTGAATTACCTCAAAGTTGATTACAAGAATAGCCAAAATCAATATTAAACCCAAAAATGATAATTCGTATGATTTATGTATATATGAATTAAATTATGGTAGGGATACAATAATTAATGTAACATTTTAGATTTGGTTCAAATACATTTTCAAAAAGATGTGTAACCTTGATAGTTGATATGATATGAATACAAAAGAAGCAAGCATGTGGGTTTTAACTGGAGGAGTTATGAAAGTTGAGTCATTTGTGTGAGAGTGTGTGTAGAAGAGAGAGAGAAGGAGAGATATGGTCAAAGAAAAAATGAGATGTCAAATCAAATAACAGAGAGTGAGAGAGAGAGAAAAAGAACTGTTGATACCATCAATCTTTGCTCCCAAATCTGCCCAACCCATCACACCCTTAGGGCTCCACTCTCTTCTCTTTTGTTTTTTATCACTCTCCTTCACATTACTTTTTGCCCCTTCTTCACCCATTTATCATCATCTTCTTGTACATTCTCATACATGTGTATATACATGACTGCATGCATACGTATGCATACACAGCACTTAAGGAATATTCACTGTTATGCATACCTTTATACATCAATGAAAATTAGGTAGGTGTTTGTATATATGCTTCAACCGAGAGATAATCATATCGTTTCGAATTTGAAGATAAAATATAAAAGTGAATAATGTATAGATAAAGAGGTGTAATGTTCCTTCAACGAGCAAATATGTCTCTCCACTAACAAAAAAGGAGAAGAAGAAAAACAAAAAGTGAGCATATATATATTGAAAAAGCTCTTTGCAGGAAGAAAAGCCTCTCTTTCACTGTAATCCTAGTTACACAATCAGATCTAATTTGGATCTTGAACATTAATAACAAACTGACTCAAAACAAAAACTGTACAATAACAAGAAAATCACTAGCAGTCCGGTAGTATAATTTGTTTACGTGGTAAGATAAATAATTGGCTTTAATAGGCTGCATTTACGTTAACAATTATGAAATTCTAATTCGAAAAAAAAAATTCTAATTCGAACATCAGTACATAGGACAGTTTTATCAGAAAAAAAAACCAACACAAGGTATTTGGCAAACGATGCAATAAAGTTTTGAAGTATCGTAACTGTTGGTTATTAGAGCACCATATAAATACAAAATTAACTAAAAATTTTAGAGCAACACATACATATTTAGATGCCTTCTAATATTCTCAACCATTTGGCATACTATAATTAACTAGCATCACCACATCATTTAAAAACAAATTAAGTGAAGTATGATATAACTTGCAATTTGATCATCCTAAGAAAGTTCAGCACTTGAGTAGTAATATTCTCTAGTGTCCATTCTCTCATTATTCTCCATGATGTCAGTAGACAATTAAGTAGCATTATTTAAGTACTACTATTATAAAATAATTTCAAAGATGACTCCACCAGAAAACCAAATATCATTTGGGAATAAAATAAACTAGAATATATCAGTACTCTAACTAAATTTTGAAAATGTTCATTATGATCGGGAATATAATATATATAGAGAAAATTCACACCCAACGCATGCATGAATGTATAACACCTGCTTTTCTAATATTTTTATCCTAACAAATATAATTCAAACGTTTATGATTTATTTCCTTCAAAACGAAAAATTAATGACAAAATAATATATACAAATAGAAACCGTGGACAAACCTCATTAGTGAGTTTTACACTGTCTTGTAATAAATTTAACAATAAGACTAGAAATACAATTTTAGACTTTTCCAAGTGATCTTGATTCCATTTTTTATTTGATTTTTAGTCTATCATCAATTAGATGATATAGCTCCTACTTAGAAAAGCCCTACCTCCATCAAAACTTGCTCCATAGATTGAGGTGCCCTCTTAGAATTAATATATATACTGAATTACGAAGTACTTATACTAATTTATAAAAGCTATTTAGACTGCATTGACTCATGATCATTGTCTAACTGTTCTACCTCAGAGGCAGGTTCATCTTCTTCATCAAACCCATCAATGCCGTAAGCTCCATGGCCATTTCCAAAAGCCTTGATGTGATCTTTGAGAGATCGCTTGTGCTTGAAATCAGATCCACAGATGCAATACCAAAGCTTACCACAATTCTTCTCATGTGTTCTCCAGTCCCCTCGTACTGCGAAAGCCTTACCACATTTCCTACACATGAAGGGTTTGATTCCATGCTTTCTTTTGTAATGTGTTTGAAGTGTTCTGAAGTCTTTGAGAGGTTTTGCCCTTGGATGGTCAATGTTGTTGCGACAGCCAGGTGCGCAGCAATAGCACGGAAGCCTCAGCATTCCGGTTGGCTGTGTTCCCCTCAGAGATTCGGGTCCTTTTCTGTATTGTGATCCATGTCCCCACATATGCATCTGCAAACAAAATCATGTATACATATTATCACGTAGGGTTTGAATAACTCATACTATATCCGACCAGTTCATAACGTATGAGAACCATTTTGGTTAACATGTGTATACTAGAAGATGTTATGATAACTCTAACCATAACTTTCATATCAACCTTGAATCATATGTAAAATGACAAGAATATTTTATCCAACAAACAAATGCTGAAATGTAATAAAATATATAAGGAGACTCCACATATACTACAAAGAATTAATTAGAAGATAAGTAAATGCATGCGTCGGCAAGCAAATTAATCGGGTAAACTAAAAGCAAGATGCTTAATTCATGTTCAATACATACTTAGAGCAAATTAAGCCATACATAATATATATATTGACATTAACTGAATATGAATTTATATGTGTCATATATACATATATATTTTTTCAAAAAAAAACTGAATATATATAAATATATAGGTATGGGAATTTGTATGACTACTGTTATTTTACACGTTAGACATTAAAAGACTCTCATACAGAAAAAGGATGACACACTTGCCAATATTGTAGAGGAAAGCAGCAAAGCCACAGAGACTCTGAAAGTACTAAAGACATAAAGAACATTTACTGTCTTGTTAAATCTCAGTCTCAGTCTTCACAGTCTCAAGTCTCTCGGTTCTTTGTAGTGCAATGATTTATTCATGCATCAGAGAGCAAAGACACGTCATTTGATTGATTTGAAAACAGTATGTATATGTATCTATATATACATTTACCGATTAAAGGTAAAAACTTTTTTTTTTCGAGGAAACTTAGTTGAGCAAACAAATTTTCTTTGGTTTTTACCTTTTGGTTTTAGTCGGATAATCAAGAAACAAATTCGATTTACACATGGAAAAGAAAACGGAATCTTCAAAACATTCGCATACATAGATATAGATTAGTGTGAGTTTAAATTGAGAACCTGCATGTTGTTGTATCTGTTGAAGGTTTTGAAGCAAACAGGACATGAGAACTGAGTAGGGCCAATAAGAATCTGAGAAGGTGTAGGGATCCAATATTGACCCTTGTTGAGTCTGCTGATTCTACATCCACCGTCGCCGCCCACTGAATCTTCATCGTCATCTTCTCCTCCACCGGCGGCTCCATGAGGGTAGTCGTTGTCGAGATCTTTCTTGTCGTTTATGATCTCATGATGATGAGTGGTCCTCGAGGAAGAGGAAGAAGAAGACATCATGAGCAAAGAGGCCATCTCTTGAGCACTAGGGCTTGGAAGGCCTATGTGAAGAGCAACGGTGACGTCATGGTCATCGTCATCAAGATTGTGATCATCTTGGTGGTGATGGTGATGGTGATGATCGTAATCTACATCCATGGAGGTTGAAGGTGGTTCTTGAATTAGATGGTCATGGTGGTCTTGCTGTTTGTTGGCGGGGCTGAGGCTGAGGAGAGGGAGGGCTTCACGGAGAGGAGGGGAAGGAGGAGGAGTTAGTGGCGTCGGTGGACGGCGGAGATCGCCGGACTGAGGGAAAAAGAAGAAAGAGGAGGTAGGAGGAGGGGGAGGAGGAGAAGGAGAAGGGTTAGTGGAGCTGGAATTAGGGTAATGGTGAAAACGATTGGACTTGAACCAGTCTGTGAAGAAATTGGAATAAGGATCAGTCATGGTGAAGAAAGAATGAGAGAAGGGAATAGTTTTTACTTGTTAGTCTTGTGTGATTATCTTTATACAAGAAGAGAGAGATGGAGATGAAGATGGAGATTTAGATTGTGATGGGATGGTGAGAGAGAGAATGAGTTTTTTTTTTGGGTGAAAAGAGAGGGAGAGAGAGAGAGAGAGAGAGAGAGAGAGAGAGAGAGAGATTATTAATTATGGAGTGAAAACTAAAAACAGACTATAACGAATAAAAAAAAAAGAACAAACCTAAAAGAGCAGGTCAAATACGAATGTATAATTAATATTAGTCTACGCAAAGTAATTAATTCCTTCAGATATGTAGGTCCTTATTCTTTGTTAAAACTTTGAGACAAATTTTTAACTAGTTGTGTTAAAAGGAAACCATGTGGTTTACTTGACCAAACATTACTATGTGGTTTACAAAAACGGTGCGGTTAAGCTGTCTTGGAGGTAGCATTTGTAGTTTTGGCAATATACATTTGACATTGGACACTATACAATAACTTTTGCTCGCATATCTGACTTCACGTACTTTATTAATGAAACTATGACAAAAAAAAAGAGAGCGAACTATATATGTTTGGATATGATGATTTGTTTATCGTCGTTTGTTTAGACTAAAACGAGGCGAAGTTGTAATCTGTATATCTAGTTATATATCTAGTTTGATAAATAATTATAGATATGATGATGTAAGGTCGATAGAACTTGTGTTTGTATAATAAAAGATGATTTTTTTTTTGTATTACCAACTAACCAAATTAATAGCATGCAAGTAATTACTAAAGCATTTCTTATTTGTGGATTTTGAGTGTACGTACAAGAACGGATGCAATTTCATAAAACTATAGGTTAAAATGTAAGTAAAAATAAATTAATATCAATAGTTGTTGAGGATTAGGGCTAGCTAGGTTGAAGAGTATATATATTATTACGAACAAAAATCATTCACCAAAGACAGTAATCTCTAGCCAATATGACAAAAACAAAAATCTTAATAAATTAGCTGTATGGAAGGAATAATTGATATTTATTATGAGTAAAACAGGATTATTTAATTATTTATAAATATAAAAATTTAAAGGAACATAATCAAAGTACCTATTTGACAACAAATAGAAAAAATAAATATATAACGCATATGAGGTGCAGATACATCATACAAAGATAATGTCACTGCTTTTTGTAGATTGGCTCTCATCCCAAACAAATTTTCTTATCTTAAAGCCTTTTTTTATAATAAAAAGCCATTTTTATCAGTTTGAGACTTAAAAAATATTTTGTAATCTGGATAAATATAAGAAACTAATAGTGACAATGGCATACTAAATTATTGTCCAAATTTTTATCAGTTGCCCTAAAATATGTGAGTTTGGTGCTAAAATTGAAGTATTATATATCCCAGTATTTGCTAAGTTTGAGTTTTGTTATAGATTATACGTTCACATATAATGGATGTTCTAGTTATAATATTTTTTTAAAAAAACAGAAGTTGAAAAACACATGGGAATTTAATTACATACAAAAATTGCTAATCAAGTACGAGAACCCTGGAGAAAACTAAAGTGTATTCACAATAATTAAGCTTTTGGGATCGTGTTTGTCTATTGTTATTCTACATACACTATTAATCTGATAAAACCTGAAGAAGTTTTGATTTTAGAGAATACAGAAGCTTAAAACATTTTCTTTTTCATTGAAATATAATGGCTTAAAGAAGAGTTACAACCTCTCTTAGTATTTATACAAGGAACTCATTCTAGAATACTCTAAAACCCTAGGCCAGGTATCAAGCATCGGATGATGTTGCTAAAGCATCAAATCGATTTTGAATCTTGATTGTACGAACCCTTGCCAGCTGCTCTGAGCTTTCCTCTGAATCAGTTCTCCTCTTGTCGTTATTCAGAGAAGAAGATGACCGTTGTGTTGTTGTGGGCTTGTGAGTTTGAGCCTTCTGTTCACGCTGCTTGGGCCTTTGCATCATATGGCCCATCTCGTTTATCTTCTCAGACAAAAAGACTTCTGCTGTGTCGTTTTGCCCTTGTGTTATCTTTGTTGAACTCTGTTTTGAATGCAGAGTATCAATATCCCCCCGCAAACTTGGCGTGGGAGGAAGGCACACGCCCAGTTTGAACCTGAGATCTGTGAAAGAAGACTCCGGCAAGGATTTCGTGAGTATATCTGCTACCTGAAGCTTCGATGGAATATGTTTAACCAGGAGAGAACCCAAAGCAACTCGTTCTCGTACATAGTGAAAGTGTGTCTCAAAGTGTTTCGTGCGTTTGTGATACGCAGGATTTGCTGAAAGATAGACCGCCGAGAGATTTTCACAGTAAAGCTCTGGTGTAGCATGTAAAGGTATTCCAAGATCTTTCATAAGAGAACCTATCCAAGTGAGTTCAGAAGCGGTTTCTGACAGAGCTCTATATTCAGCTTCGGTGGAGCTCTTTGACACTGTCTGTTGTTTCTGAGATGCCCAAGAGATAAGATTGCTGCCAAGAAAAGTGCAGTAGCCTGTGGTTGATCGCCTTGTGTTCGGACAACCAGCAAAGTCACTGTCACTGAAGGCTCTAACTGTGAAATCTGAATGTTTGCGAATAGAATCCCCATTGTTACAGTGCCTTTTATGTATCGGAGGACTCTCTTTAAGAGTTGGAAATCTGATACGGTAGGCGCGTGCATCTTCTGACAAACAAAGTTGACTGCAAATTGAATGTCTGGCCGTGTCAATGTGAGGTATTGAAGCTTCCCAGCTAAACTTCTGAAGTATGTGGGGTTTTCGAAAGGTTCGTCTTGATGGGGAACTTTGTGAGGCTGAAGAGGTAGTGGTGTTGACATGGCTGAACAGTCAGAGAATCCAGATATTGCCAGCAAGTCCTCTGCATATTTCTGTTGCGAGAGGAACATTCCATCTGTATGAAACTGAGCTTGAATACCGAGAAAGTAATGCATTCTTCCAAGGTCTTTCATCCGAAAATGATGATGCAGATCTTCAAACAACCTCTTTAAGACATCAGAATTGTTTCCTGTAATCAGCATATCATCAACATACAACAAAAGAAGAATGATGTTGTTGTTGTGAGCATAGACAAAGAGTGATGGATCTCTCACACTGCAGATAAAGCCAAAGTCAAGAAGATAGTTGCTGAATTTATCAAACCAGGCTTTGGAGCTTGTTTTAATCCATAGAGAGCCTTGTGAAGGAGACAAACATGATCAGGCCTTGCTTTATCAACAAATCCAGCTGGCTGTTTCATATAAACCGTTTCAGTTAAATCACCATGCAAGAATGCATTCTGTACATCCATCTGTTTGATATCCCATTGCAGAGTTGTTGCAGTGTGTAGTATAGCTCTTACAGTAGCAGTACGAACTACTGGACTGTAAGTTTCTAAATAGTCTATCCCTTCTTCTTGATTGAAGCCCTGAGCAACGAGTCTAGCCTTTAGCTTCTGCAGTGTACCATCTGCATTTAACTTAGTTCTGAATATCCACTTGCTGCCCAGAACGTTCATGTCAGGAGTATATGGTACAAGAGACCAAGTCTTTGTTAATTTGCAGTTACCATATTCCTCATTCATAGCTTCAGTCCACCCTGGATCCTTTAATGCAGCGGTGACTGTCTTAGGTTCAGGGTATGATACCTTTTGAGTGAGGAGATTGTATCTTGGGTTTGGCTTAATGATGCCTGCACGAGCCCTAGTTGTCATGGGGTGAGATGCCACGTTGGAGGGTGTAACTGCAGGTTCAGATGTTGTGTCGGATTGTTCCTGAACAGGTGAAGTGACTGTCCTGCTTGGTGAAGCATGAACACTGTCGCCAATAGGAACATGATCAAGGCATGCCGTACGCTCAGAATATTCAGCTCCACCATCAGTAGTCACAACTGGAACAGGTTCACAAATGTTGTTGCAATCAGGTACATTCAGATCAGGGAGATCAGCTGCAGTTGCAGGAATCATTATAGGCAAAGAAGGAGACGTCGAAGATGTTGTGGACTCATTCTTTTGTTTGACTCCTTGAAGCCAAGCATCATAGAGAGCTGTTCTGTTAGACGGATGATGAGATGAGTACATAGTTTGAAAGGGAAACACTTCTTCATCAAAGATTACATGTCTGCTGATGTAAACTCTCCCTGTTGGTGGATAAAGGCACCTATAACCTTTATACTTATCATTGTATCCGAGGAAGACACACCTGAGAGATCGAGGGTCAAACTTTGTTTTGGCATAGTCTCTGAGTGTAGGATAACACGCTGAGCCAAAGGTTCTCAATGATGTGTAGTTTGGTGGAGACCCAGTTAGAGCTTGAAACGGTGACTTGTTGGACTCCAATGATGAGGTGGGAAGAAGATTTATCAAGAAGTTTGAAGTGTAGAAAGCTTCTACCCAATACCGTTGTGGAAGACAGCTCTCAAACATCATTGATAGTCCAAGTTCAACCAGATGTCTATGCTTTCTTTCTGCTAACCCATTTTGTTGTGGGGTGTGAGGACATGATATTAACTGTTGTATACCACATTGAGAGAGATGAGACACAAACTTTGTACTTGTGAATTCTCCTCCTCCATCACATTGAAAAGAACCAATCTTTGTGTTATATTGGTTTTCAACAAGTTTCTGGAATGCAGTAAATACTGGATAGAAGTCTGATTTAAGTTTCAAGGGATAGAACCAGCTGAATTTTGACCAATTATCAATAAAGATTACATAGTAGCGAAACCCTTGAACTGAGACAACTGGAGAAGGGCCCCAAAGATCACAGTGGATTCTTTGTAAAGGCCGAGTAGCTACAAATTCAGATGCAGAGAAAGAAAGCCTAGAACTTTTACCAAGTCGACATGACTCACACATCAGACTGGACATTTTATTGACACTGATAAACATAGACGAAGCTAACTGTTGCAGAACTTGAGCATTGGGTTGACCAAGTCTATGGTGCCAGACAGCTTCACTAGTAGCTTGTTGCCTTGAAGAATAAAACGCCTGAGGATGAGATGCAGATTCGTCCTTCAAGACATAAAGACCCTCACTGTT